TCTTTTATCACTTTCCAATTTCACAGAAAGAAGATGAGCTCATTTTAATATCTTAATTTTGAAGTTTAGGAGATGTTGTACAGGTTACTTGTAGAAGCACATAGTACCATGTTCATCAAGTTATTTTAAAGTTAATTGTACGTTAACCTTAAACTAGTTCCCGACTTTTTAAAGTCTTCTTACTGTTTAAGTTCATATTTCATTTAAAATAGCTGTTCAATTAGCCAGTCAGTTCTGTAGATTAATTAAAGTCAAGTCAAGCCTGGGTAGCTTGGATATTTGCAAGATTTACATGATCGTATTGCATGAATACTTCTTTTGTTCACATAAACTGAATAAAAGCTCCCATTCCACCAATTAAAAATCGTCTGTCCCACCACTTAAAACGTCGGGGATTCAAATCCCATCGGGATCATTCAAAAATTCTACCACCAAAGGAACACCAGCCATAGTGTTAATTTTATTTTAAAAGGGTTTATTTATTTATTTATAAGGTAGGAGTCCAAGTGTACCTGATCCTCCCAGGTCAAATGACCAAACAACGACCAAATGAAAGATATACATCAGCCATGTGTGACCCTGCCTTCACAGAGTGTCATGTATTAAAGGGCACGAAACACTTCTGAAGATTACTTGCTGGTCTGCTCTTGTGAGTTTCTTGCTTTTTTTCAACTTTTATTAATATTCATTGCCTTGCTATTATAACTGGATATGTATTCACAGAGTGTGGACAGAATAATAGTTAATCTGTCATCAAATAACGTAGAATCACTGTCCTTAGTTTAAGTAATTGCTAATCTTTTATAAGATATGCTCTTGACTATAGATACTAACAAGTCATAGGTGTGGTTTATTTCCACTGCTGTTTCATAAAACTTGATCATTTGTTAACGGCTGAAAGTCTGGAGTCATAATATCCCTTCTTGACGGTCCGATTTTCAGGTAATTTCTAGGATTTAACATGCTATTGGGCTTACCAAAACTTTTACCATGGTACTTTAAAAAGTATTTATATCTCTAGAAGTTTAGACATACATTTTTTTTTTCACAAATATGTCTCAAGCCTCATACTGAATGCAATCCAAATAATAACACTCAAAACAAAATGTTTTGATAGTTGGCATCATAAACATGATAGAATTGCAATTTCTAACTTGAAATCTTTATTTAGCAAGTACTTGAAGTTGCATCACTTCTTAAAAATGTTGCGACCAGTATCATAATTTCAGCACTGAGTGATACCAAGTATTTTGGGGGTGATTTACGGTTTGTGTATCTTAACCTTTCCAAAATGATAATAATAATAATAAATGAGGAGCAAGTTGCGCAAACTTGCCAGATTATTCTCATTAAAACGTGACCACAACAAAAACAAATTGCCTGAATTTTTTGCACAGATGTTGTTTTCTGGCCATTTTTACAAATGAACATTTTACATGTCATACTGTCCAGTTCCCTGTACCATTGTTTGGTCTCATGTACATTATATCATTGTGGCAACTTATATGTAATGTAGGGATTTCGCACATTTCCAGGACACTATATGCATCCTCTCTTAATTTCATTTAACTCATGGCGTTTTAGAGTCTTTTACACATTTTTATACTTCTAATCTACTTAGGCGAGCTTCCTCGCAGAGCACGCTAGATGTGCCAATTCACATGCTCAAGGTGTCTGAATACTCCCTGAAGAGCAGTATATGTTTTCATCATCGTGTTTTGTTTAGCTGTAAATGAAGTACAGTTTGCTATTTTTGATTATGTTTTCATTGTCTCATAGTTTATGTAACATGCTTTTGTTTAGCATAGAGCACTGGTTTATTGAAGACCGTTGATGGTGATACTATACAAAGGTTGAGGGCTACCACAGTGTTTCATTGTACTGATAGATATTGTTGATATATCTCGCAAGAAAGTTATACTTTGTGCTGGTTTTATTACTATGCAGTAAATAAAACTGTCACAAGGTGGAATACGTAACTTGATACTTATCTATCTCATATAATCTTAAATTTATCAAAATTATACGATCATTAAATTTTTCTCTTACGGAATTCGATTTGTCTTCAACCCATCCTCTTCCCATGGGAAGAGAAGAGCATTATTTGTTTTGAAAGATGTCCAAGGTAAAACATTTATCTTCCAACATCTCTGATATAGTAGAATGAGAATTTATAGATGCAAATAGAAACTTTTAGAAGTTTATCTATATATTTAGTTAGACAGTGCTAACACACATAGAAGTGGTTTAGAAATAAAAGAGGTATTTTGATGATTCAAAGCTTATACACTCTAATCCACTGGTTAGGTTTGAAATGTTAGTCACAGTTGGTATGTTTATGCAGTTTGTGCATTTTTTATGTCTGCACTTTAACACTTTTTTGTTTCTGCACGAAACATTCCATTATCACTTGCTGAAAGTGGCATCTAATGTTACATTCGTATGGATGGATGTGGACGATTAATTGTGAAAAGTAGAATATAAATATTTTATGATTTGCAAATTATAGAAGCATATTATAAAATGTTCATGATTTGCAAGTCATAGAAACAAATTATAAAAATGTTCATGTTTGTATAACTTTGAGTAATTATGCCTTCCACTAGAAAGTATTTGCAATTTAACTTGTCCATAAAAAAGGATGGGAAACAAGGACTACGTTCGAATGTTCAACCTGTTCAAAAATGTAGTAATGAATTTGATAGAAATAGCCTCGTACTTAAGCTTCTGCTAAAATATATCATTCATTATAGCTGACCACAATGTCTCACAAGATAAGCATTCAATAAATATATTATTAATTAAAGTTGAAATAATTTAAGAATAACAAGTGTAAGAACAATAAGAATTTTTGATATTTTGATTTAAAATGTCAACACATTAGTTTTTGGCAACTTATGTTCTTTAAGCAACCACCTTTTCATAAACCAAGAAAGTAGCAAACCTTCTACTCACGTAGCTAATCAAGAGTCACTAATTTAAGAACTAGAAATTTTTGCACTGTGTTGCCGCTTTAGCTTCTGATGCTTTAAGCCAAACAATTTTATATTAACTAAACTGAGAAGCAATAGAAACCGAACTTTCATGAAGATCACAAATAATGAAAGCATCAAACGTACACGAGCTAAGACATGCTGTTTTCACACAATTCAAAGGAAGCTACAATAATTACCATTTTTAGGTTGCTGTTTTGTGCTTCCTAAGTGGTGTTAATTTTGTGAATTTGATTTCAGTTTCATATGAGGCAATGGCTGTATTACTATAAAAGAATATTAAATTTGATAGATCATGTTTATAGAAATGTACTGTTAAGGTAAGCTCAATTTCCAATCATGATTCTCCATGTTACGCACAGAATTTCTTCTGATCATCCATCGTGCGCATAATTGCTTTCAGAAACGTCCTCATCTCGATAACTTGTACATTGAGATTCAGAAACGTCCTCATCTCGATAACTTGAACATTCAGATTCAGAAACGTCCTCATCTCGATAACTTGAACATTCAGATTCAGAAACGTCCTCATCTCGATAACTTGTACATTGAGATTCAGAAATGTCCTCATCTCGATAACTTGTACATTCAGATTCAGAAATGTCCTCATCTCGATAACTTGTATGTTCATTTTTTTTCTGCCAGTGTAGCTCGAATCAAAACACCAGTAGCTCTGTGTTAATCATTCGGTAAACGCTCTTTTACAACCTCTTAGGACCAGTAGTTTTCTACCCAACTAAATGCGTGAACTTCCTCTCCAGGAAGAAAAATATGCAAAGGTTACCAAAAGACAGCTTGCTATTATAGCAGCAGTTGACCGGTCACGACATAAAGCAGGAACACATTAAAAACAAAATACTGTAGTTTCATGATTATGTCAAAAACACTTTATATCTTCATAGTTGTGATGCTTACAATTACACAAGAATAAAGGATTCGGATGTAATGATATTTGTTGGATCTACTTTTCAACAGTCTTGTATTTTTGTCAGATGGAGTTGCAACCAAATCATAAACATCAATGTAGGCCTGTGATGTCAAAATTACAGACTTTCTATGTGTAAATGTTCAGAACTGATCAACATACGTTCTGTAATAACAGTTAAAACATATCTAATTTTTGTAAACTTAGATTGAATGTAAATATGTGAGTTAAACATTATACACAAATCTAAGAGTCAGTACATTCACAAAGTAGAAATGAATCACACTCTTTCATTCAATTTACTGAACGCTTTTGGGAGTTTATGTGTCACTAACTATACTTATATGTTACTCGAACTTTATTTGAATACCAAGTAAATAGAGGAAATGTTTCAATCCAAGCTACATATCTGTGTTTTATATAAGAAGCACCTTAATAAAGACAAGACACACCGTCCCTATATTTTAACATAGCAGAAATGTATGCTCTAGAAAATCACAATTGCCACTGAAGGAACACAGTAAAGTTCCTATCTTCAGTTAGAAAATGTATAAGTTATTACCTTAAAACTGATTTAACTTTGCAAGGCAATTTAAGTGATTATCCATATCAAGTTCTTCAAAAATTAATCATTTTTTAAATATATTAATTAAATACATTTAAATTCTCCAGTTCTGCTTAGTTCCTTAACCCTGGAATAATCGATGGAGCCCATTAGTTTTTAAGACATTTTTTAAAAATATTTATATAACGAATTGTTATATAATTCCATGTTTATGTTGTTTACAGGGTCCGTAATAATGAATATGAGCCATACACAAAAATTAAAACAAAAATACCATCACTAATACAGTTAATACCACTAACTATTACTTTATGTAAGTATTTTATATCCAAAATGAATGATTTTACCCAATTTGTTTTCTTCAGTTCTTTATAGTGGGTGATGTAACCGGCAAAATGCGAATCATTTAGTGAACAGTATAAAAACAAGTTGGTAATTTGAGGGATAATCTGCATATCTCATCTAAAGAGGTCTTTCCATCAGAATAGCTCACGAAAGAACAAAATTCGATAATTACCAGTTGTTGACTTGAAGAATGGTTAAACCTGTGTCTTGTGCCAGTTGCTTCTTTTGGTCCTCTGACGGGTATGGATGCTGAAAAAAAGTCAAAATATTACTATATCATGCTATAACTCCAAGGTATATGACAAAATTTACTTAGCTGTGTTAATTAAAATAAATGCTAAAAATGGCAGTTGTGTTTTATTGCATGTAAAAGGCAAAACAGGAGTGTTTTACTCAGTGTGTTCGAAATAAGGAAATACTACAATGATATTTAAATAAGTTGATATGAATCACAATTAGACAGTGAAGATGCTTTGTTTTGTCACAATTTACATCAGTCCAAAGAGACCTTTCGCTCAATAAGATATCATTAGGTAAGTAACACTGACAGCAATTAAATGCAACACAGTGAAGAACTAGATAAATCTTTAATGTCATATTTAGATATCTCTGGTTTGAAATATATAAGGGTGGCTAGAGAGATTGTGGGAAAATCCATCTTCAGTCTCTCGTGATACTTCATCACATTTCTTAGGCCTAAGCTTTCGCACTTTTCCAGTTACACGTTTAATATCCTAATATATATACTTCTTAATTACGAGTAATAATATTTAACAAAATAGTTCAGGAATTGTAACTAATCTGAACAAAACACAGGAAAGATATGAAATGTTATTTTTATAGCTATTTCAGTTTATTAAAACTAATCTATATAAATAGAAACTTGGTAAGGAAGTTCATTGGGTCCATGGGAAGATACATATACATTTTCAATTTTGCATTTTGCGTTTTGCGGTTTTTATGAGAGTTTTTGCATTTTTCACCACTACTTTGCTCCCTGTTGATGGACCTTCACCATATTTGACACGAAGGTTTGTTGGGTCCATGCGGAGATACATGCAAATTTGCGGTTTCACGTTTTGTGTTGTGCAGTTTGTCTGGGCGTTTTTGCGTCTTTTACAATGACATATAAGGGAAGCAACTTTTCATATCCTGAGATAACTTTTCATTAATCAGGAATTTACATAACTTCCGTCCATGGGACGGGTACTCCAGCTAGTAATAAAATAATGAATAAAATTATTTGAAAAACAGAAACAAATCCAATCGAGAGTGATGTTCCGTCAACTTTTTTTCTTTTAGGCCTAAAAACATTTTACATCTCCACACTTATAGATTTGTTCCATATTATTTTATCAACCAGTTTTAGTCTGAACAGTTTAATGAATAGTGGCCAGCATAGCTTTCTCTTGCTAACATAGGGTTATCTACACTATTTTTTATGCTAAATATATTGAGCAACAACAATTAAAAACAAAGCTTAAAGTTTCTCGTGATTTTATTTAAAAGATACTTACAATGATGCATTTTTAATCAACGGCATCTAAAAATGGCCGTCTTCTTCATTATATTTAAGCTAATTGCACAAAACATATAAAACACATATTTTCTTAGCTAAATGACTAGTATTACGCTCAATTTTCTTTCAGTATTTTCACCATCAATTTAAAAACATTCCATCTTAGAAAGCGTACTATCAAATGAGTATGCCCTCTGTGAATAATTTAATTTGCTATTCAATGTTGAAAAGGATGATGATCCTATGAAACGTTCATTACACCATTGTCATTAATTCTTTGGTTACAGAACTTTATAAATCCTTCACTGTAAATGTAAATAGTTTTTGTAACACAGTGTGTCACATTCCATATAATACTTTCCTGCGAACGTTATCAACTAGAATACATTCTAACGCTCCCGTTCAACATTAAGATTTACAGCTGAAAATATCATTAAAGCGAGGGTATACCCAACCAATCATTTCGTTTATTAAAAAATTTCACCTAAAGCTACACAAAAGCCTATCTGCGCATATTCGTCTCTAATTTTGAATTGGTAGTCTAGAATAAAGAAAGCTAGTAGCGACCCTCACGGCCAACTCTTAATTTACTCTAATCGAAAAGTGGGATACGACCGTCACTCCTATAATGCATTTACGGCCCCAAAGTGTGCAGCACCATATTTTTTTGGCAACGGGACGCTGAGCAGGGATTTTTGCATTCACAGTCCGACCACAATAATCACTGGCCACCCACAGCCCTCAACTGGTGATTCAAAGCGTTCTAATGATGATAACTTTGTTTTATTTTAGTTTTGTTGTGTATTGACACTAAGCTCTTCTAGTTAGTTAGACGGTAGGCTTCATTAAGTTATTTGTTCTTATATTTAGATTATTTGTGGCCAGAAGTTATTAATAGCGAATATGTTACAGCAAACATAATAAATCCTTGTTTACAAATCCTGATTAATATCTTGCGCTACTCATCCATCACACACAGTCCGTTCCTCTTTTTTGTTGAACCGCTTACATACTCAAATACTGAAACTGACTGATGTATGTGTCTGCATGATGTTTACTCACACATTCAGTTGCAGTGTACATACACACTTTGATATTGAATTTCTCAAACACGAAAGAAAATACCTTTTTGTCCGTGTATTGTGCAGTGTTCTTTTCACATTTATCAAACTGTTCTATTCCTTGCAGCAGAAACTTTACCAAAAACAAGGATTGAACTACGTAACCTTTTTTGTTATTTCGGAGAATTTTCAGGCCTTCTCGTGTCCAGCATGGATCTACCACATGTCCTTACTGTCTTGAGCTTGTAATTAATGACCATAGTCTTAGAGGTTCACGTGCTCCCCAGTCTCCCCAGCCGGCTATTAAATCCTATAAATCAAGTAACACTGGTTCGAAAGAAAGGCCACCCCCAACTCTCCCTTTTTTTTTCTTCTCGTTTTCCAGGCAGGCATTGAAGCGCCCCTTAAACTTCGTATTTTTGACAGGCATTCTATTTTCCCTGCTTGTACAACTGGTGTTTAAGAACAGACTGTCACATGAGTTTGAAACTAACGGATTTGCGCACCATAAAACAATTATTGGTTTGCACGGTATATTTTGATCTTGAAGCAATTTTTATATAACAGAACAATGCACCAACAGTGGGCACACGCATTTACATTCCAGCTTTATCTGAACAAAATTGAAAAACGTGCAATATAGTTAGTTTTCACTTATATAAGTTATATTGGTACATGTCTTATGAGATGCTCATGTATAAACTCACTGTTTTGCCATTAAACGAAAACAAAACTTTTGTTCACAATTAAACAGTTATTTTATTAGCTAGTGGTCTAAAGCTGCTAAAAGGAAAATAAGGTGTGATAATGAGATACACATTTTTCTTCTATCGTTTTAAGTAGAAATTACATCCAGAGAAAGTTAGTTATTTTTCAAACACCCAGTAAGTAAGACAGTTCTCAGTTGACCATTAAGGTATATTTTCTTGAAAACAAAACCTGGTGAGAAATCTCTTCTGGAATAGGCCAACAATTACATGTACTTTGAGTAAAGTCTGATTTTGTTCAGAGAATATTCACGGATAAATGAATAGATAAGGCTTATCTTAAAATAATAGGGAGACTGACATTAGGTATTAGATCGTTTAGTTAATTATAATACGTTTTGGAAAAGCACTATGTAGTAATGTTAAAAGGAGATAGTTGTATACATTATTGCATAAGGAAGGCAAACAACGTACAAAATAAGTATAATTTGTGAGGTGATAGCGCCTTCTGGAGAAATGTAGGCTTTAGATGTAATACTTGCAGACAGCTTTCACTTAAAATATGATTCATTGTTACTTCATGAAATAAGATTGAACTGAAGAGGAGCTTAAGGCAATGTTCGATGATCAGCTTCATGCGGATTTTCACTGAATAAGTTTATTATGAACATATTCCCGGATAAAACGCCTGGGGATTAAAACTGTTATACACATAGTTGTTCTTATAACCCTGCTGATCTCACTAATCTACACTAATGGACTTAAGAATGGCTGCTAAGTGTATTAACTTGAAAATGGATTTATTTTATTCTAAATTCATTACGTGTAACACTACAATATTAAGTTACGTAGAATGTACTAGAAGAGGAGAGGAAGGATGACAATGGGTTAAAATTTTCATGAGAGGATAAAGTAAAGAAAGCTAATAAACAGATGGGCGAACAGCCGAATACACTGTAGACGAGTTAGGTGTTAGTTGATTGGATGGGTGATATATGCTGCTCAAGTAACAATGAAATTGAAAAAGTGGTACGCTTTGTTACTCTCTGAGAATTTGGAACATACGATTGGCTTAACACGTCATTTTTTCAACGTAGTTTAATATTAACTAACTCAGTTTATTAGTTATTTAATACAATATGGACTAACTTTGTTTACTATTGACAAAACTAAATATGAAGTAATTCTATCTACCAGTGAAAATTCTCTTTAGTCTACAATTTAGCTTGCTTTTTTTGGGTGCTCGACTCATAATCTGTGGTTCGCGGGTTCGAGTCCCTCATCGAACTTGCTAGTCCTATCAACCATGGGGGCGAGATAATGTGAAGGTCAGTCCCACTTTTCTTTGGCAAAGATTAATCCTAAAGTTAGCGGAAGGTGGTGTTGACTAGCTGCCTTCTTTTTAGTCTATGACTTCTAAATTAGGGGCTGCTAGCGCAGATAGCTCTCGAGTATATTTGCGCAAAATTCAACAAACATATAAGCTATCGTTTTAAAATTAGGGACGAGAAGTTTTCTCGAAATTCAACAAAACAAAAATAAAGAGACAAGCTAGCGATAAAATACAATATGGAGAAGCTTTGTTGAAGATGGAATAAGTCACTGAAAGAGAAACAAAACTGAAGATGATTAATTCAGTTCCCTTGTGACTAAGTCAATGACTAAATATATATGGACTAGCTCAGAACACCGGTGACTATATTTACTGTGGACTATCCAAGTTATCGACAAAACTAAAAATGAACTAATACTGCATATTAGCAATAAGAATAAATTCCGTTTACTAGTACCAAAATGTGTTACTAGTTATTAAAAAAGAAAGAGCTCAAACTGTCATAGCTTATTTTGTATAACTAGTATTGATGGTTTATTGTCAAATGTGAAATGTGCATACAAAACTTGTTATATATGAGAAATGTTCTTGAATCGCTGAAGGCAATCAATTTTAACACACTCACTATT